TTTTGTACCACTGTCTCGGGGATTGCTTCAATCCGTACAACGATTTGTTCAGCTTACAGGCCCAATTCTCTTTTCCAGCAATTTTGAAACCATCTGGCTGGGACATGTATATCTCCTCTTCAAGATCTCCATGTAAAAAGGCAGTTTTGACATCGAGTTGGGCGAGCTTGAGATCAAACTGGGCAACCAAAGCTAGTAAGATACGAATAGGCGTATGCTTCACAATAGGTGAGAATACCTCATTGCAGTCTATTCCTTCCTTCTGAGCATAGACTTTAGCTACCAATCTAGCTTTGAATCTGATGTTGTCTTTGCTTAGGATGGCTTCTTTCTTGGTGTAAACCCACTTACACCCAATTGCTTTCTTGCCTTTTGGAAGTTGCACCAACTACCAAGTCTAGTTCTTGTGAAGTGACCCGATCTCTTTATCCATAGCCTCCTTCCAATTGACACTTTCTGCATGATGCACAACTTCTTGGAAATTGCAAGGAACATTGTCTTCAATGATTGGAAGTGCATAAGCTACCATATCGGTCATCCAACCAGGTTGCTTAGTAACCCTTTTTCCTTTCCTGATTGCAATGGGTTCTGATTGTTGTGGGGCCTCTGGATCTTCATTTTCATCTAAACTCTCTTCAGAGCTATCCATTGAGACTTCTCCAGAATGGTTGATTGGCTGACTAGTCTTTGCTGGAGTCTCAAACTCCACCTGCACTGACTTCTTCAATGCTTCATCATTTTCTTGAGGATTTGGTTGCTTTAGCATTGTAGACTCATCAAAGGTAACATCTCTTCTAGTGACAACTTTCTTTGATTCAGGGCACCAGAGTCTGTATCCCTTGACACTGTCACTAAAGCCCAAGAAGATGGCTTTCTTGGCTCTTGGATCCAACTTAGATTCTGTAACATGAAAATAAGCTGGACATCCAAAGATACGTAGCTGATCATAATCAGTAGCTGACACTCCTGACCATACCTCCATAGGAGTCTTGCCATCTAGTGCTGCAGTAGGTAGTCTGTTGGCAAGATGACGAGCATAGTTCAATGCCTCGCCCCAAAATGCCTTGCTCAATCCTGAATGTGACAGCATACACTGGACTTTCTCCACCAAAGTGCGGTTCATGCGTTCTGTAACTCCATTTTGCTGCGGTGTTCCAGGAACTGTGAAATGTCTCATTATCCCTGCATTTTGGCAAACCTCTAAGAAGTGATCTGATGTGTATTCCCCACCATTGTCAGATCTGAGCTTCTTGATCTTTCTGCCTGTCTGGGTCTCAATCATTTTCTTCCACATAAGAAAGATGTCTAAGACTTCGTCTTTGTGCTTCATTGTGTAAATCCAAACTCTTCTTGAGAAATCATCAATGAACGACACAAAGTAGTGTTTACCTCCCAATGAAGCATTCTTGGAAGGACCCCATACGTCAGTGTGAATGTAGTCTAGAATCCCTTTGGTACGATGAATAGCAGTACCAAACTTGATTCTTGTTTGCTTGCCCAGTACACAATGCTCACAGAACTCAAGCTTCCCTGTTTTGGTACCTTTCAACAGACCTTGCCTTACTAACCCTTGTAAAGCCTTCTCACTGACATGCCCTAGGCGTATGTGCCAAATTCTGGAAGTGTCTGATACATCATCTTCTGAGCTGGTGGAGACAACCACTCTCCCTGTGACTGTAGAGCCGTCTAGGAAATATAAATTTCCCTTTCGAGTACCCTTCATTGCACCAAATGCTCCTCGAACAACTTTGAGGACCCCACCTTCCATAGTTACTCTGTAACCTTTGGAGTCTAAAACTCCCACTGAGATGAGATTCTTTGTCAAAGCTGGTACATACCGAACATCTTCAAGAATTCTGATTGTTCCATCATGTATCTTCAGTCGAATTGTTCCAATTCCCTTTGTCTGGCAAGCTTGGTCGTTGCCCATCAGCACAACTCCTCCATCGAACTCTCGTAAGCTCGAGAACCACTGCTTGTTCGGACACATGTGGTATGAACACCTGGAATTTATAATCCATTCATCAGACTGGCCATATGATGAAACTGTGAAGGCTGATCCTTCACCATTATCTCCATCTCGTGTAACGTTCACCTTTTCTTCTTTCTTGTCTTTATTGGGACAATCTTTTGCCCAATGCCCCATCTGGCGACAAGAAGCACACTCGTCTTTTGCAAGACGTCTTCTATTCGACAAGAAGCACACTAGAAGTCTAAATTTTAAAAATTAAATTGATAAAATTAAATTATTACAATAATATGAAAAAGATATTTTAAAGAGAATAAAAGTGTATTATATGTATAAAACCAATGAGCATCAGGATCACACCATTGTATCCATCTGCTAATCTACAAACATAACTTTTTCTTAGTGATGGAGTCCATTCTAATGATAACAAACCTTCCTCAAATATATCCCACAATTTGTCACTTTTGCTTGGAAAATTATTGGGTTGTCTAGCCAACAAATCTCATCATATGAAGGTCAGGTTTGAAGGAACATCAAATGTGAGAGTTCCATGAGAGTGCAAGGAACAGATCAATCTCTGAAAATCTGAAGGCAAAACCATAACCAAACCAGAGAAATTTCTCACAAGGCGAACAATATGTCGGACAATCTACCACAAGAAGTGGTGTTTGATATCTTAGCAAGACTACCTGTGAAGTCACTATTACAAATGAGGTGTGTATGCAAATCATGGAACTCTCTAATCAATAGTCCCAATTTCATCACATCACACACAAACCAAACTCTTGCAAACAACAACAATGAATTACTAATACTTAGGCACCATACTGATGACAAAGATCAGTTCACACTCCACTGCAAAAACAACGCAGTCAATGAGTGTACGACATTTGATTGCCCATTTACAAACTGGACAAAGTACTATTTGAGGGTAGTGGGTTTGTGTAACAGATTAGTGTGCTTTTCGTCTCATGATCAGACTACCATTTTATGGAACCCATCAATCAAGAGATGTTTGAATCTATGCCTCATGTTACATGTAAGTCTCATGGTTCTTATATGTTTGATCTTGGGTTTGGCTTTGGCTTTGATCCCCTAAGTAATGATTTTAAGGTGGTGATACTTGTGTATTTTCACGAGCGCTTTGGTTACAGGCTTCCAGCAGAGGTCGATGTTTATATGCTTAGCATACGGGCTTGGAGAACAATTGATACTGTTGCCCCCTCATATAACTTGATGCAATGTGTTTCGCATGTTTTTGTGAACCGGGCTTGCCACTGGATTGGTTTTGAGGCAATGACGAAGGAAATAAGGTGCTATTTGATATTGTCATTCGACATTGGTAGTGAAGTGTTCCATGAGATAAAGCTGCCAAATTGTTTTGCTAATGTGTTTAGACTAATTGCATCAATTGCGGTGTATGAGGAATCGATTTGTTTGTTCCATTATGATAGGGATTGTCAAGTCTCAAACACAGAAATTTTTTACTTCCATTTCACAAGTCAGTTTGCCTGAAAGTTCCTACAGTGAGAGAGTGCTGCCACTGTTTTGTTCGCTAAGCTAGACAGATAGTGCTTCTGCCGTAGCTGGTTTTGACCGTCGTATCCTGGGAGACAGACGTCGGGATTCCTCAAGCACTCGACCTGTGAGGCGGCGAAATCTGTTTTAAGGAAACTGCTTCCGTGCAGGCTTCGGTTTCGTCTCTTTACCCTTCTATTGCTTTGTGTATTTTTGTTGAAATTTAGTTGTAATTATTAGCATGTGTTCTTAGTATATATATAATTTGATTTCTTCATAAATCTATTTATTTAATTTCAAAATTTGAACAAGCTTAAAACATATTTTATATATATTTTCTATGAAATTAATCGAATAGATTTATATATACTATTAGGTTAGCTTTGTATAGTGTTACTAGGAATTGTTGCGGAATTGCTTACTTTTTCAATGATTGTAAATCATGCAATATTACTCTCTAATTGCTTAGTTTAATTAGAATGCTCTATTATAAATTTGCATACTTAATTGTATTAGTATAATCTGGTTTTATGCATATGGTTCATCATTCCCCTACCATGATTTGCATGAATTTTAAGGTTATAAAATATAATTTATGGATGTTGCAATTTTGATATGCTAATTCTATTCTAGTTTTTAATTCCTTGCATGCTTATTATTTTCTAGACTAGATTACATAATTTAATGTATTTTGGAGTTATAGAGTTTTATGAATTGTGTACATGATTAATCTAAATTATCTAATTGTGTGCATTAATCTGAATTATTTAATTAGGTGCATTAATCTGAATTATTTAATTGGGTGCATTAACTTTGAATTTGACTTATCTATTTGGAGTTATTAGTTTAAATGTTTATTATGAATTAATTTCATTCATGACTCATGAGTATTGAACTTTATTTTAAAGTTTTAATTAAATTGGCATTTTAATTCATTGGTTAATTTTATAAATAGTTGGCTAGATGGTTTCAATTATTTATTATATTTATTTTTTGCTTAGATTATTTTTTTGTATTTTGTTGTGGTTTGCTACTAACTTTCTTTGTAGGCATACCAATGCGAAAGGGAATGGAAAAACAAATATAAAATCAAATGAATAGTATTTGGGATGTAAAAACAAAAATGTTTGGACTACTAATTTTTGTGTTGAATAGGAATGCCTAAGCGTGGAAAGGCTTTTGGACTAAATAGAATCCTTATGGATTGGCTATTTTATTTAAATGTTTGAAGCATGTTTTTTGCTTGAGATGTAGTTGATTTGTTTATCAATTTGTGGTGGCAGGTTTTATTTGTTTGTTTTGTTAGAAGCATTTTATATGCGTGTAATTGTTATAGCAATTTTTTAAATTGTTTGTAAGATTGGAACTTGGTTTGATTTTCTGTGATAGAAACCAAGTTTTAGTTTTGGCTAAAGAGTAGTTCTTATTTGTTCAGAAATGACAACTAAGATGGATTTGGTTTCAAACCTTTGGAGTTTGAGGAAGTTTCAAACCTTTGGAGTTTGAGGAAGTCTTTGGGTTTAATCATTTTATTCCCAAAGTGTTGGAAAACCAAATTTGGAGAAAGTCTTTGGCTATAATCTAATTATGTCCAAAGTGTTTTGGTTTTGAGAAAGAAAACCAAATTTTAGCATTAGCTAAAATATTTCTGATTTTATTCAGAAATAATGAGCTTAGTTCCGGGAGTACCGGTTAACTTTTATGAGTGGTGTAATTCTGGAAGCAAATTTTATTTGCTTGGAAATCGGTTTGTTATAACCTGGTTTATCCCCTGGAAATCTTAATTTTTTAAATTGTTTCCTATGGACTAGGAGTCAACATGCTCTTGAATGTTTTGTCAAAAGGTTAACTGGGTTTTAAGTGGGACCGATGTGACCCGTCCAGTCTTGCTGGGAACTTTCTTGACCATGTTCGATTCTAGGTTTTGTGGTGAGACTAATTTTTGAATTAATTTTTCTTCTAAGGGATTTTCTAAGGGTTAAGTTTAATTTCTGAAATCACAGAAGTAAAATTCTGTTGTGATGTTTCAGAAATGGCTTCAAAAGGTGACAAACAGAAATGTTGTTCCACCTAACAACCTTTGCCTCATGAGATTCTTAAAGGAAGATCTTGAGAGATCAAGTATAATTAAAGGAAATCATAAGATTGCTTGAAAATAACTCTGAATTGATAAGAGGCAACTAGTATGGTATCCTTGTGTTATAGCATTTATGATTGCTATGTGACTTTGCTTGAAAGCAAAGTTGAGACAACCTGTTATAGTGGGTGAATATTTTTTGAATTTTTTAAATTCCAAATATATTCTTAAATTGGTGGCTCCTAGTGAGTTCAAGATCACTGATCACAAAGATAAAAAACTGGTGGTTCCTAGGAGGTGTTAGACCACTGGCTAATCAGTTATGAGATTGTGGTTCCTAGTAGTGAACAAATTACTGATCACATGTCAAGACATCACGATTCCTAGTAGTGGAGAGACTACTGGTCATATGTCAAAACATGATGATTCCTAGTAATGAAAGAGTTTATTGATCCAATGTCAGGACGTTGTGATTCCTAGTAGTAAAGTGACTACTGATCACAGGTTAAGACATTGTGATTCCTAGTAGTAGAAAGTCTACTGACCACATGCTGAGAAATTAGTGATTCCTAGTGATAAGACTACTGGCCATGTTATGAAGTTCAGTGTTTTTTCTTGTAGTGGGTATTGCTCACTTTTTTAATGATTGTAAATCATGCAATATTATTCTCTAATTGCTTAGTTTAATTAGAATGCTCTATTATAAATTTGCATACTTAACTAATAGTAAGACTATTGGCTTCAGAGTGATAGGTTGGACCAAATATATTTAGGTGCCTAATTCGGTTGATGACATTCTGGGAATGTATTTACTGTGATATGATTTTGAGAGTTTCATAATCATTGTGACACAAGGATTTGTTTAAAACTTTGTATAAATTCTACAAAGAAGACCTGATTATCCGACTCCGTAATGAGGAGGATAATAGAAAGAAAGGAGGGAGTACCTCCTCAGTAAAAGCCAATGTCATTGAACATGGCAAATCTTCTGGAATAAGAAAGAAGCCCTCTAAATTGGGGCCTAGAGGTGGTGTTGCAAAGAAGCCGGCTTACAAGTCACCGAAACCAAGTAATCGGTTCTTTGGGAAGTGCTATAACTGTGGTAGCAATGGGCATCGGGCTAGTGACTGCCACAAGCAGAAGAAGTCATACAAGACTAAACCTCGTGCTCATATGGCAGATTTACAAGAACACTCCCATGAGGAGGATGATATGCACTTGTCTGCCGTTGTCTCTGAGGTGAATCTGGTAGGTTCAAACCCAAGAGAATGGTGGATTGATACTAGGGCTACACGCCACATCTGCTCCGAGAAGGAGCTGTTTACAACTTTCAAACCGGTTACAAATGGTGAGAAGTTGTTTATGGGAAACTCTGCTACCTCATTTGTTGAGGGAAAGGTGGTCCTGATGTTAACCTCAGGAAAAGAGCTAACCTTGAACGAAGTCCTGTATGATCCGGACATTCGTTAGAATCTTGTCTCAAGGTCTCTTCTCAGTAAACATGTTTTTCGCATGGTTTTTTGAGTCCGACAAGGTTGTTTTGACGAAACACAAGTGTGAAACTTGTGTTGAAGTGAAGTGGACAAGACGCCGTATGAGTTATGGAAAGGCGTTAAGCCTTCTTATAAATTCTTATGAATGTGGGGGTGTCTTGTAATAGTGGCGATTCCTACACCCAAACGGGTTAGGATAGGCCCGAAATCCGTGGATTGTATATTCATTGGTTATGCACATAATAGTAGTGCATATCAGTTTCTTGTACATAAGTCTGAAATTCCAGACATACACAGGAATACCATTATGGAGTCAAGGAATGCATGTTTCTTCGAAGACATTTTTCCTTGCCGAACCCATGAAAGGGTTCCAAGGTCTTTGGAGCAATTTGATGGGCTTGCTAGTGATGATGATCATGTTGATGATCAAGGTGATGATCAAATTGAGGTTTTAGATGACCCTAGAAGGAGTAAAAGGGCTAGGATGTCCAAATCTTTTGGTCCAGACTTCTTGACTTATATGGTTGAGAACGAACCTCAAACTTTTCACGAAGCTGTGACTTCTCCTGAGAGTCCTTTATGGAAAGAAGCGATCAAAAGTGAGATTGACTCCATCTTACAGAACCACACCTGGAAGTTGGTAGATTTACCTCTAGGTTGTAAACCTTTAGGCTGTAAATGGATCTTTCAAAGAAAGATGAAGGTTGATGGGTCAATTGACAAGTATAAGGCGAGGCTCGTTATCAAAAGGTACATGCAACGAAAAGGCCTGGATTACTTTGATACGTACTCACCTATAATTAGGATAACATCCATTCGCATGGTGATTGCGATATCAGCTTTGCGCAATCTAGAGATACACCAGATAGATGTAAAGACAGCTTTCTTAAATGGGGATTTGAATGAAGAAATCTACATGAAGCAACCTGAGGGGTTTTCAACTCCAGGGCAAAGCAGGAAAGTCTGTAAACTTGTCAAATCATTTTATGGTTTGAAGCAAGCGCCTAAACAATGGCATGAGAAGTTTGACAACGTAATGTTGTCAAGTGGGTTTAGAATCAACGAATGTGACAAGTGTGTTTATGTCAAAGACACTGACAGAGGTTATGTCATTTTGTGTCTATATGTTGATGATATGCTCATTATAGGTAGTAACGATGAAATGATTAAAACTATCAAGAAGTTGTTAAACTCTAAGTTTGACATGAAGGATATGGGCATTGCAGATGTTATTCTGGGAATTAAGATTACCAGAACATCTAGTAAAATTGTACTTTCTCAGTCTCATTATGTTGATAAGATACTTGAGAAGTTTAGTGGATTAGATACGAGTGTGTCATCGACACCTGTAGACTTAAGTCTACATTTTACCAAGAATAATAAAGAGAGTGTCTCTCAGTTAGAATATTCTCGGGTAATTGGAAGTTTAATATATCTGATGAGTTGTACTAGGCCGGATATAGCTTACTCGGTTAGCAGGCTTAGTAGATACACAAGTAATTCCAATGCTTCTCATTGGAAGGGCATTGTGCAAGTGTTAAGGTATTTACGCTACACTCGGGATTATTGGCTGCATTATACTCGATATCCAGCGGTGCTAGAAGGCTATAGTGACGCGAATTGGATATCAGATATAAAGGACTCAAAGTCCACTAGTGGATAT